TGAAATAAAAAAAATATTACAATACTATTTTTGCATTGTATGAAAATTTTTGTTGCTCCATATAAAAATTTTAATCAAGCCCCCACTCCCAGTCAAAGGTGTCCCTCTTTACCAATCTGAAAATCTGGTCACCTTACCCAAAACATCCAGAAAACAGACTGTTTTTCGGGTCATTTTCAGACCATTTTTCAGCCCAAAAAATGGCCTGGAAACAGCCCAAAAATGGCCTGGAAACAGCCCAAAAAATGGCCTGGAAACAGCCCAAAAATCGCTGAAGAATGGCCAAAAAACCAGCCAAAAAACCAGCCAAAAAACCAGCCAAAAAACAGGCATGTGCACACCGGGTTTCCAGTATTCCGGCACGCACACCTTCACACACATGCACGTGCATTCCAGTTTTGGCACCCTGTGCCGAAAAGGTTCACCATCACTGCCATAGTAGAATTTAACTGAACTCAATAGTTTGCTCTTTTGACCAGACTCGCCTACAATTATTTTCACCTTTTACCATTTAGAGGTACAGAATACAAAAATATATATTAGCAGGAGTAAAAAACAACAACAGAGAAAATCTTTTTTCTATCCTTATTTTATTTATATTCTATCTCTCATTCATGAGCTCGAGATGACACATATTTTGCACTCCCTATTTTTTCCCACAGCAGGCTTCTGAGGTAGATTGGATTGAGACAGTATGGCTCTGTCTCTGCCCAAGAGCTCAAATTAACTTCCATGGTTGAGGGTGGACTAGAACCTGAATCTCTCCATTCCTACGCTAATGTTTTCCAATGCTCCACACATTGGCTCTAAGGTTGCATTATTAACTTCTACTTTTCTGTTCTCTTGCCTCTCCATTCTTTGTTCAAACTCCAAGATATTTAACAAATACATAACAAAAACAAAGAATTATGAGAGCTTCAGGATTTCTTTACTGGGTTTTATAGGACTTATATATTATCCTGATTGTTTTTCCTAATATTGCAAGTTCTGCCTATGGATCTATGTTTATTCATTTTTCACTAAACACTATACAGATAATCCTCAATTTACAACAGAGGTGATATTCAGCAAATTCTGACCAGTTCTGGAGAACTGGTAGCGGAAATTTTGAGTAATTTGGAGAACCGGTAAATACCACTCCTAACTGGCCCTGCCCGCATCTGTTCTCTGCCTCCCGAGTCCCAGCTGATCGGGAGGAAATTGGGATTTTGCAGTAACCTTCCCCTGGAGTGGGGAGCGAATGGGGATTTTAGCAATAGCAATAG